CATAGAATTTAGAATGTGTAGAAATATAGTCAGAGTTTGCCATCCTCTTGTTCACATCCAAAAAACACTTGAAACTTTGAACTTCTATCCTCAACAAGCAGACGAATTGAGTGTCTTCGTAATTTTTCGAGCAATTAGTGACCTCAATTCGATAGGAAACACGTCAGTATGTTTTACTTTTAAAGTTCGTGGTACTAGTTCAAAAAATAGAAAAGTACTATATGGAGTATATGCATGATAATCTGATAAGAATTTGAGAAGGAAAGGAAAGCAAAGCAGCTGACCTGCTACCGGCTGAGTCGCATCATGTTTTGGTTCAGATGGCGTAGACTCTGTTGTAGCAGCAAGTGTTGGTGTCGAATCTGAGTTTGGTATTGGTGCTGACGTCGGCACTGGGACTGACTCCATATCTACACCAGGCGGACCGTCCATGTACACTTGATTGTAGTTTTAAAAGACAGTGTAACTAAATACTGGAAATGCATGAGATAAGTGAAAAAAGTAATCGTGGAGTGCAGCAATCCATAAAATGAACAAGAGAAGTTCATGCAAGCTCTTTACGCTTATATCCAATATCCACAAAACAAGATAAACGGTCAGTTGGTACGCTAGGATGTACACGGAGATCTAGCAACGATTTTATGTTAGAGAAAACCAGCACCTAATTTCTTTTGATAGTCTCACAATTGAACTCTATGACGTCAACTTAGAACCAGTCCACATCAGCTCAATGGAGCCTATGATGATAATCAGTAACCAAATTATGGCCAGAAACAGATGGTGTACGTAGTTGACTAGAAAAAAAAAAGGATTAACACAGTTCACATCACCAATAAAGCTATTTTCAAATACAGTCAACCCCAAAGCAAGATGTCGACAAAGTTCAATAAAGCCTGATATTTGGCAAGAGACAACAAGAAGAGCTATAAAACTTCCTTATGAACTCTAGTTTGAGAAGAATCAATTCTTCTCGCCTAAACATCGATGAGGAATCGATTAGGATAAAATTTGAGACCTTCGGTGGAGTCGTCGCGACAAAGCATAGCTTGCTCTTCAGCAGCTAGAAGTCTGAAATACTTATAGCTTAGGCAACAGGTGAGAGTAGCAATTAAAAGCTAATTATCTAAAACATACCTCTCTTTTGCCAAAATCACTGTAATTCCCTTGCTAGCGGCCAGCTGACTAGCAGTAGCGCTGCCATTTTCTTTTACAAACTCTGTAGTAGCCTCCACCATGCTCTCAACAGATGCTGTTTTCAGCTGTAGTACTATGACACCAGTAGGAAATCGATGAAGTCTAGAAAATCATCACATATCTCTATGAATCAAAAGAACTCAATGGCGAGTTATATGACTCACTCCATAGGTGAGTCCGCCCTTCTACTAAGTGCTTGACAAGCATTCAGCAAATCTTCCGGTGAAAGCAATTCCATGCCACGAGCGCGATTTACGCGGCAATAAACTTCTGGCAAGGTCATCATCCCTCCGCATTCCTAGAGTAACAATATGGGAAATCTAAGATAAATAAAAGTGTACAAAACAACTCCACTAGAAAGCTTTGCGC